TCCTGGCCCTTGCCACGCCGGCTGGGAATCCCCACCACCCCACCACCATTGTCTCCAGCTCTGCTGAACACCTGCAGCTTGGCAGGGAGGGGGATGCCGAGATGCCTCCGGGGTACCTTGTCTCTCAGCTGGGTCTGCAATGTCTCCAGCTCCATCTTGCTGCTCTCCTGCTCACGGCTGAGCATGTCCCGCAGCTGCTGCAGCTCAGCCTGCAGGGCGGCCATCTCCTCCCCGTGCCGCTCCGCTGCCTGGCTCAGGCTGTCCCTCTCCTGCTCCAGGCCGGCAATCCGGGTGCTCTGCTCTGCTCCCGCCTGGGTAGGTGCGAAACAGTGGTCGGAGCTGTGCCGAGGGTGAACCCTTTGGTTTGGGGACTTACTCGCAGCCCAGGCTCATGCCAACCGTCCCTGCTCGGTGCATCGCAGCCCATGCAGGTCGCAGCTCTGAATCACCTGCTGCCCGGCAGCACCCTTGCAGCACTGACGGCCTCACCTGGGGCCAGCTGAGGTTCCCTGGGGAGCCCTTTTGCTTTTAGCAGTGAAAATTCACTTCTATTATCCTGATGGAGGAACAGATGAAAGGTGCGGGCTGCCGGCCCTGGAGCTGGCTCTGCCCCATCCCTGTCCTGCTGCAGCGTGTCTGCCCACCCCGGGGACGGGCAGCTCCGTTTTCCTGTCAGCTTCTGCCTTCTACAACGAGCCTGGAAACCCCCGCTGTTCTCCACAGCTTCGCAGGCACGAAATACCCTCTGGCACGCCAGCAAGCCCATGCAAAGTCTTGCGATGGCACGGCATGCTCCCTGCCTGGGTTTTAGAGAGGGCAGAGACACCCTGCCCGACCCTGCTCTTGCGGGGATTTTGTTCAGTGATCCCTGCTGCTGGAGGCCTTTTTTTTTTTTGCTCTTCCACCCAGAAGCGTTAAACCCCCTGGTACGATCACTAAACCCATCTAGATGTGGGGAGGAAGAAGACAGGGAGCTGATTATCAGGCCAATGGTGCATAACACCTGGAGGGGTAACACATCACCCAAGCACTGCGACAGCGGGCAGACTTCCCTCTTGCCCACGCTGACCGTCCCCACGCAGTGGTGGGGCTGGAGGGGGCTACTCACGGGCTCTCACCTGCACGCTGGACTCCAGGGTGCTCTGCAGGACCTGCAGCTCCTGTCTGCTGGCGGCCAGCTCCCGCTTCAGCGTGTCCAGCACCTCTGCCTGCTCCTGAGACTGCAGGCAAGAAGGGAGATTGCCGGTGCCTCATGGGGGAGCCTGTCACCCCCCCGCCACACCCCGGCACGTCCACTCCATCCCCACTCACCTTCCTCTGAGCCTGCTCGCTCACCCGCTGGAAGGAATCCTCCAGCTCCTTCTTCTCCCGCTCCACGTCCCCCTGGGCCTGCCTGGCCACTGTCACCTGCTTGGTCACCTCTGCGTTCTGGGGACAGTAGAGAGGGAGCTCAGCGACCCCCAGTGTCAGGGGGCACGGCCAGGAGATGGGGATGCCGGGAGGTGGGGGCGGATTTTGGGAGCCCACCTTCCTCAGCAGGTCGGCGTGGTTCTGCACCAGCTCGCTGTACTTCTCCTTCAGCTTGCTGTACCGCTGCTCGTTGGCCTGCGCCCGCCCTGCCACGCACGCAGGGACACCGAGGTGAGCACCTGGCACCCCCCACCCCAGGGCTCACCCCCTACCCCGAGCTGGGTGCCGGCTCTCCCCACTCACTTTCGATCTCCGTCAGGCTCCTCTGTGCCTTCTCGGTGTCCTCCCGCTGCTTCTTCAGCTCCTCCAGCTCCGCGCGCAGGAACTCGCTCTCATCCTGCGCCTGCTGCTTCAGGTGCCGCTGCTCGGCCAGCTCTGCCTCCAGCTCGCTGGCGCGGCCGCGCAGCTGCATGGCACCCCGTGCGCTCTGCGGGGATGGGAGGCAAGTAGCTCCCAGCGCCGTTCGGTGGCTGCTGGCACCAGCCGATGCCCGCCGGTACCGTCCAGTGGCCACCCCGTGGGTAGCACCCCACAGAGCCCCAAATGCAGTGGGGTGAAGCACTGAGGATGCTGGGCAGTGGGGGTGAGCCTGTCCCCCCCCCAGCACACCTGGGGACCCCCTGTATGGGCAGGGATGGCTGCACCAGGGATGCAGAAGCCATCGTGGACAGGGCAGGACAGACAGACAGGGTCACTGCCTTGCCCACCTGGGGACACAGCCAGCACCCCACCAGCCCCATTCCCAGTGTGAGCTGCTGGTCTCATCCTGCCCCTGGGCTGCCACGCGGGTGCTCACTGTGTGACACCACCGGAGGGTTGTCACTCACCTCGGCCTTGAAGTTCTCCAGGTCCTCCTTCAGGGCTGCGATCTCCCCATAAAGCTGCTCGATTAACCGGTCCCTGGGAAAGAGAGACATGGGGTACCATCCTCAGTGCCACCAGCTGTTGTCAGTGAGGTGGGGACGCATCCTGGGAGGGCCGGCGTCCGCCGTGCCACCATGGCTGCTGTGCCACAGCAGCCTGGCAGGCAGCTGTGATGCTGTGCCGGGGAGGGAGTCCAATCCCAGCCACCCTCACGGCATCACCGGGACTGCTCACTTGTCATCCTTGTTCATCCCATTCTGGCTGTTGAAGTTGAAGGGGTCGCTGCTGAAAGAGCTGCCGAAGATGTCGTCAAACTTATTGTCAAACAGGCTCTGCGGGGAGAGCAGCACGGACCTGGAGTGAACCCACCACCACCTGGGAGCCCTCATCCCCTCCATGTTCCCGATGGCACCACCGAGCCAACCCACATGCTGGCAGGGCTGCTGCCTGCTTGTGCTGCGTGGACACCGGGGCTGGATTCCCTCCGCTGCTCCAAGGGAGCTGAATGTGTTGAATACGGAGCATCCATGGTCTGTCCCCACCTAACTCCCGGCGGGGCTGGAAGATCCCTAAAGCCATGTCACTGCATGTCCCTTCCCCTCCCAAAACGCTCAGTGCCTGGGGACAACCCTTGGTGGAGAGAGGGGCGAAGCACGCAGAGCTGAGGGGCGATGCTGGGAAGCCAAACATCTCAGCCAGCCATCACTGGAGGGCACCAAACCACCAAGAGAAGCACCATGAAACGAAGCGACAGGATGAGGGGTAATGGTTTTAAACTGAAAGAGGGGAGATTTCGAGTAGATATTCAGAAGAAATTCTTCACTCTGAGGGTGGTAAGGCACCGGCCCAGGTTGGCCCCGAGAAGCTGTGGCTGCCCCATCCCTGGAGGTGTTCAAGGCCAGGTTGGACCAGGCTTGGAGCAACTTGGGCTGGTGGGAGGTGTCCCTGCCCAGGGCAGGGGGGTTGGAACGAGATGATCTTTAAGGTCCCTTCCAACCCAAACCATTCTGTGATTCTAATTCAGCCTGGCTCAGACCTAGCAGCACCCACATGTGACACCCAGCACCCACACTGCCCTCCCACAGTGACGCTCCCCAGCATCTGAGGCCATCCTGCTGTCTCAGCCCCCACCATGGCATGGTTGTGGAGAAATAACCCTGGTCCTGGAGCCAAAGGGCATCCACCGTCCTCTCCACAGCCTGAGGGGCACGGGCAGCACCATGGTGGCTCACCTGTGATGCCGTGTCCATCTCCACCAGATCTGTGATGGGCTCGCTGTCAGGTGAGGACGCCTCGGCAGGGATGACCACCACGGGGCTGATGTGCTCCGACAGTGCCGAGGCACGCAGGAAATTGGGAGGGTTCTGGGGAGGGAGGGGAGCATGGCTGGGTAGGGGAGGACTGGCACTGCCACAGGGTTTCGGGCATGGTTGGTCAAAATCCTGCCCTGGCACTGAGCTGGCCATGCCCAGACCTGTGGGAATGGAGCCAGAACCGGCAGGGATGGAGCCAGGACCCATGGGGACGAATCTGGCAAGGGCTGAGGGTCGGTGAAAGAGTGGATCCCAGACACCGGCCAGAAGGGCAGCTCCATCCCGCAGGATCCCACCCAGGGAGGGATGCAGGGATGAGCCTCAGGCTCCAGGAGCCCCACATTGCCACCAGCCTCTGGAAGCTGGGCAAGGTGGCATGCGACTCTTTTTGGACATACAACTCCTAGTGCCACCAACCCCAGCCATGGGGACAGCGAGTGTGGGGACCACAGGGTCTCACCTCTGGCAGCTGCGGTATCTGAATCAGCCGCTTGAAGTACTGCAGGTTGCTGGAACGGTAGAAGAGGTCCTTCAGCCTGCAAGGGGCAGGGAATGGTTAGGGATGGCTCTTGCCTAACCCAGACACCCCACCCCAAATGTGGGTAGCTCCAACCCCTCGCCTGGCTCTATGATGGTGTCACTGGGCTACCACACTGCGCCAGAGGTGGTGTGTGCTGCCACCAAACCCATGGTAGATCCTGAGAAGAACCCATCGCCAGCCTCCCACCTCTGGCAAAAACTGTCTGCTAGAGGCTTTCTCCCATAAAATCAGGACCTGATGAGCAGAGAGAAGGACCTGAAACTTGAGGAACTTAATCTAGTGGGAGATGTCCCGGCCCATGGCAGGGGGATTGGACTAGATGATCTTCAAAGGTCCCTTCCAACCCAAACCAGTCTGTGAGTCTATGAAGCCATGAACCGCAGCAGCATGGCTGCACCAGGTCACACTGAGGTACAGTCCACCTCTCTGTTCCGTCCTCACCATGGCCAAAGCTTGAAGAGACAACACCATTGGTCCTGGTCATCAGCAGGCTGGAGGCTTCCAGCCAGAAGGCCTCGTCTGCAACATCCCTTCAGCTCCCCGCAGGAACATCTGCCCCAGGAGTAGGGCTACACCTCTTCAGGATTTCCAGTTTTGAGAAGGAGAGGCGGTGCCCGGCCGTGCTCCTCGTGGCTGCCCTCCTTTCTAGCCACCCCAGCATCCCAGTTGGTATCTCAGTCCTGTTGATACCTGCCCCAAGGTCTCTGCCCTGGATAGTCAGAGCCCACTGACAGCCCTGCTATCTGCTGACGTCACTGCCTGGTGGTTTTCCCATGGGCACTGGTTTGCAGTTTATGACCTTGAATCAAGCTGTCCCTTGGTGCTGTGACATCGTCACACTGCTCTCATTGGCCACTTTTTGTTTTGACTAGCCTAAATAATCATGTACCAGAGGCCATGGCACTTCACTGCTCACTCTTTTTTGATCTCATTTAAAACACGGTGAGAGGACCGGTTCCAGCACCATAGCTGGGATCATCCTGAGACACAAAACCCAACCATTTGTCTCCTCACCTTTGTGCAGTTATTAATCCAGGGAAGATGTGTCCTCGCATCTCATAGGATCATGGACTCACAGAGTGCTTTGAGCTGGAAGGGACCTTAAAGACCATCCAGTCTCCCCCTCCATGCGCTGGGCAGGGACACCCCCCACCAGCCCAGGTTGCTCCAAGCCCTGTCCAACCTGGCCTTGAACACCTCCAGGGATGGGGCAGCCACAGCTTCTCTCAGCAACCTGCACCAGGGTCTCACCACCCTCATGGTACAACATTTCTTCCCCATGTCCATCCTAACCCCACCCTCGGTCAGTTTAGAACCGCTGCCCCTTGTCCTGTCCCTGCAGGCGCTGGTCAAAAGTCTCTCTCCCTCTTTCCTATAACCCCCTTTAAGTACTGAGCTGCCGCAGTAAGGTCTGTGCGGAGCCGTCTCTGGTGTGTGAGGAGAGCGGAGCAGAGGGGGAGCATCCCCTCCCTCTTGCTGTTGGCCACGCTGCTGGGGATGCAGCCCAGGAGACGCTTGGCTTTGTGGGCTGTGAGTGCACATTGCCGTCTGATGTCCCATTTGTCACCCACCAGTCTCCCCCAGTCCTTCTCCACAGGCTGCTCTCCATCCATCCATCCATCCATCCATCCATCCATCCATCCATCCCTCTGTCCCTCACTCCATCCCCCAGTCTGTGCTGGTACTGGGGGTTGCTCCGACCCAGGTGCAGGACCTTGCACTTGGCCTGGTTGAACTTCATGAGGTTCACATGGACTCACTCCTCCAGCCTCTCCAGGTCCCTCTGGATGCCACCCCTTCCCTCCAGTGTATCGACTGCTCCACTCAGCTCGGTGTCACCCACATTTCGCCGGTCAGTTCTACTTTTTTTCCCAGAGCTTTTGGAAATGCCCTTGCTTATGCTGAGCATCACCCTGCAGCAGCTCATGGCCTCTCACAAACCCAACTCACACCTTCCACATGCAGCGGCACCTACCCCATCCCATACTGTCTTTTTGATGAAGACCCTTTCCCACACCTCATTTTCCTGCTGCGCCAGGCACTGGGTCAGCCCCTCCCCTCCCTCTCTCCCCTCTCCCTGAAGCCCTTTTTATCTACCAGCACCATAACACTTCTCATCCCTGGGCACTGGCAACACTCCAGCAGCACCACAGCTACCATGTCCAAGGTCTCAGGTAACTGGATGACCATGACTCAGTTCTGGAGCTCTCCTCCTACACCTTTTATCTGCTGCTTTTAAAATATCTTATTGATATTTTAATTTAGGACAAACATGGGGACACTAGTGAAATGAGCCTTACCCTTTCCTTTTCTATCTGTCCCCACCCAAGGATGGCTTTTCCCACCTGAAAGCCACCTCTGCTCCATTGCGCTACCCAGCAACATCCCTGGCACCCAGGCTCTCTGCGAGGCTCTTCACAGACCCCTCCTCAGCTTTGCAACACCCAAAGGTTTCACCCTTTGGTTGCCCCTTTTAACATGCTCCCTTGGATTTGTGCAACTGGCATTTTTTTTTTTTTTTAAATTAAACAGAACTGGGGGAAAATCTCTTTTCCCTGTCCCACGCCCCCAGCATCATGACCGTGAGAACCCCCGGGGCTTGTGCAGACCCTCCCTCTACCAGCAACATCTCAAGCTGCCTCCGTATGCTGGTTACATTCTCCTACCCCATTGCTTCTACCAATGCATCTCTCTCTCGACAGCGTTGACGGACCCATCACAAGCAGAAAACACTGCTAAGGGTGCTGAGCACCCTGCTCACCCAACACCCAGCCTGGGGCAGCCCCAGGGTGTCCCCACCAGCAACGCCCCGTGCTCAGCTTCTCAGCCCACTTTCATCTCAGCACATCAATCACAAATTGCATTTAAAATCACAATTAAAGGGTTTGAGGGTTTTAAATCGTCAGACGTGCTGTCAGCCACTGAATGCCTTGTTAGAATTAATAACGCCGTTATCTGGTAATTCAATAGCTGCAGATTAGCCAAGCGGAGCGGCCGTCCTGGCAGAAGCCCGAGGGAAAGCCAAGAGGTCGAAGCGGGCTGGATTTCAGAGCCCCAAGCGATACCGACTCCTGCCCTTCCTCCGTCTCCATCGCTTGGCTGCTGAGCCCCGGCACACCGGCTCCAGTGTCCCCCCGTGCTCCTTCTGCCCTGGGAGCACCCCCGGAGCATCACCGGCGGCATGGAGAGCCAGCGCCCCGGGCCTGGGCACTTACTTTCTGAACTGCTCCAGGAAGCGATCCCGGTGGCCCTGCAGCGTGTCCGCCGGCAGACCTGCAAGAAACAGCAAGTAGAAGTGTCACTGGGCGTCTCCAAGCTGGGAATGAAGCACGGATCAGGGGACAACCCACTGGCATGGCCATGCGGGGACAGGTCTTTCCCAGAGATGGCCACCCTCCTCCCAGGTTCTGAATGCTGCGGGCTCAGCATCCCGCTGCAGGAGGCTATCACCCCCAGGGCAGGGAAAGGCGGCAAGCTGACATTCAGGCAGCTGCCACCATAATTCGAGGTCCTGGGTGATGAGGTTTTGCAGCCAGTGCCTGTGCAAAGCCAGAGGAGCTCCTGGTGGGCACCGTCCCCATGTCTGAGGGACGTTCGGCAGGGCTGGCTCCTGGGACAGCTCAGTCCCCCAGTGCTTGCACCTCCTTGTCCTTTGCCCTGGTGAATCCCTTTACTACCCAAAAAAGGCTGGGAAGGAGATGGGGGGTGAATGGCCCAGCTTGAGCAGGGTGGTGACCTCCGGTGTCCCCCTCTGTGTCCCCCTCCCCCAGGCCCAAGCTGGTGCTGGGGATGCTCACAGGAGTGGAGCTTGAAGAGCAGCTTGACGGTGTAGTCGTAGAGGTGGCTGCAGTCCAGGATCACCTGGATGAGCGGGGCCAGGCGGCACTGCCCCGCGGCCGTCACCGACACCGAGCGCGACATGTCCAGGGAGCTGAACACTGCGGGGAAGGAGCATAGGATCAGGCTCTGGCAGCACCGCAGCGTGCCACGCCATGTCGGCCATGTCCACAATCGTCACCCAGAACAAGAGACGTTCACCCAGAGCAAGACACCTGCTGACCCTTGGGGACCCAGTGTGCCACCCCGTAGCCATTTGCTGGCCCAGAGGAAGGGGAATTTCCCACCCAGGACTCCCCCACAGACATGGGAACACTTCAGCCTGGCACCGTGGGCTGGAAGTGCCTGGTCCTCGGTGGGTCAAGAGGTGATGGGCACAACCCATCAAGAGGTAACGGGCACAAGCTTGAACATAGGAAGTTCCATCCTAACATGAGGAGAAACTTCTTTACTTTGAGGGTAGTGGAGCACTGGCACAGGCTGCCCAGAAAGGTTGTGGAGTCTCCCACTCTGGAGACATTCGAAACCCGCCTGGACACTGTCCTGTGCAACTGCTGTAGGTGCCCCTGCTCTGGCAGGGGGTGGGAGTAGATATTCTCCAGAGGTCCCTTCCAACCTGACCATTCTGTGATTCTGTGGGTCCCTGGGTAGAGCTCCCAGCCCCCGAGGACACACAGCCCCTGTGCTGTGCCCGTCACTGCTGTCCCACAGGCATTCGGCTGTGCCGTGTGTGCCGGTGGGGACACACTCCAGACACGGCCGGGAGCAGCTGGCAGCGCCTCACGTCCCTCATCCTCTGTCCACGTCATGGTGAACTGCATCTCGTGCTGGGGTTGCAGGATGTGCCCTGGTGTCACGGGGGTATTTCTGGCAGGGCTGGGGGCAGCCTGGGGCATGGGATGCCAGGCTGCTGGAGCCGTGCCCAGTGACCGCCTCATGGCCCAGCCTTGCAGGTCTCCCAGGAGGCGTGGGATGCCTGCCCCCAAAGCGTGCCGGTGCAGCAGGCAAGGCTAGCAGGGCGGTTGGAGAAGATGGCAGCTCCATCTCTCTCCAGCCAGCAGCTCCCCAACAGGCAGAGCAGCGAGAGCTCCCAGGAGCGCTCCAGGGACGGGGCTGTGACGCACAGGACGAGCCCCTCGACACCAGCACTGGTGCCAGCATGCAGCCCTGAGACGAGGGTGCTGCTCCAGCTCCATCCAAATAACCCTGTCCCGCCAGCACCCAGGGCTTGTTGCAGATGAAGACTCGTCCCAGAACTGCTTTAATGTACCCCAAACCTGATCCTGCTGGAGCATGCAGAGGTGCGCAACAGCCCTGAGGGTTAAGACCGGCTTGTTTTTACCCCCCGGCTTGCTTGCACAGGAGGAAGGCAGGGTGCCCCCACGCCTCCCCCAGATCCAGCACCGCCGCAAACCCCCACGGCAGCTTGAGTTCGCTGCAAATAAAAGCCAAAACCTGTCGCAAGCCCATGACTAAGACAAGAAGAAATTCAGCTCCAGGAGGCTGCTGAAGCAGGAGAGCCCGAACCTGGGGTGTCGCACGGAAGGGGAGCGGGGTGGTGCGGTGCAGCCAGAGGGCTGCCATGAGGCAGCAGCACTCTGGCATGCAGGGACCGCAGGTAGTAATAACTCGTGTGAAGCGCCCAGAAAAAGAGATGAGGTGCGATGCCCTCCCGACAGCATCATTCCTGGAGCCAGCTCAGCCCCCGTGGACCCCCACCCCAACCACTGGCAGGGCAGGACAGGGACTCACCCGTCTGGAAGAGGTTCAGCTCACACTCCAAGTAGTCAAACATCTCCACCGTCAGCTGGAAACTAGGAAAAAGGGATGAGGATGGTTGGGGAGCATCCTTATGGCCACCTCAATCCGTGCCAGATGACACTCCAGAGGGATGAACGGATGCTCCGGCATGGACGCGCCAGCCTTGCCTGGGGGCTCTGCCTGCTACCAGCACCCATGGCAGGGCTGGGGAGAAGGTGCAAGGTCCTGTCCCTGGCTCGGTCACACTGCCGGTGAGGTTGGGCAGCGCCGCGCCACCCTACCTGCACCCACCCCTCTCCCTCGCCTCCTGCCCCTGCCCCGCACTCACAAATTATTGACGTCGTTCTCCCCCGCCTCGTCAAGCTGCCGGTCGGACATCTGGAGATTGCCAGGGAAGCGGGGATTCTGTGTGTGGGAACAAGAGTGGGGAAAGGGTTTTGGAGGATCTCCTGCTCTGGCCGCAGCTCTGGGAGCACCAGGGTTGCCCATGCGGCTGGTGGCTTCAGTGCAAGAGATGGAGATGGCTCTTTGCACGTGCCGAGAGTAATGTCAGGAGGAAAAGGTTAACATGAGGTCTGCTGAGTCTCGTCTGACCACAGCATCCCCAGTCCACAGTGCCCGTATTCTCCCCAGCAAGAAAAGCCAATTCTCCCTGGCCTTAGAAACCTGCCAAGCACAGAGTAGAGGGGGCCACCAGCTCTCACATGCCATCTCCAAGAGCTGGAAGGGAAGGAGCCAATATCTGCCCTGGGGGGGTAAAGCCTCTTCACGCTGCCCAGGCATTTTGGGGAAGGTCACATCATGGCCACACCAAATTGGGGTGATGGATACAGCTTGGCTTCAGAAAACACTTATTTCCAGTACAGCTCGGAAAGGAAGGAAACCTGCCACAGCCGGTTACTGTAAGGATGAGGGCGCTCAAAGCCACCATGACTTCCCATTCTCCTCTTGGCAGCGTGCCGTTATCTTAATGCCACAAGTAGATTCTTTTCTCTTCTCTTCTCTTCTCTTCTCTTCTCTTCTCTTCTCTTCTCTTCTCTTCTCTTCTCTTCTCTTCTCTTCTCTTCTCTTCTCTTCTCTTCTCTTCTCTTCTTTTTCTCTTTCTCTTTCTCTTCCATTCCTATTCCTATTCCTATTCCTATTCCACTCCGCTCCATCTGGCTAAATAATAAGCTTCGTTGACGTGAGCGCAGCTTCTTCAGGCACGAGAGGGCACTTTTCCCTTTCTATAATACATGCTCCCCATCACCCCTGGCAGCCGGCACAGCACGGAGCAGACCCAGAGCTGACCCAGAGCCGGTGCATCCTCTCCGAACGGCAGCCCGAAGAAGGGACCTGCCCAGCAGCGCTGCTCCAGGGACATCATGCTGACTCCGGCCAGGAGCAACCCTGCAGCATCCCGTGCATAGTGATGTTTACCACGTGCGGCAGGTGATAAAGGGTAGAAGCCCTGGGAGCTGCTGGGCACCGAGAGGTTTGTTCAGTGCTATCTCATCCCTATTTCCTGATTTCCCTGATAAATCCAAGGTGGGATTTATGGTCTGCGATGAACTGGGTGCTTATAAGGAAACCTTACACCTGTGACTCTGTTGAAGTTCTGCTGAGAACTAAGTTGTGCATGCTCAGTGGTGCTCAGATGAAGTTAATCACTATTTCCCTGTCATTCTTGAATTTCCTGGCCAACTTGTTGCTCCCACTCCACTTTTCCTGCCACATAAAAACTTTATTTCAGAAAGCATTAGAGTGCCTTACATCCAAACATCAGTCCCAATCAAAGGCAGGTTTCTCTGCCCATCTATATTATTTCTCCTTTGCTGACCGTGGCAAATAATCCTCCATGCTCGCATGCCGTTTGGAGCAGGTGCTGAAGCTCATCCTTCTCCATACATGACCAGCGACACCTCCCAACGATCCCTCCCCACATTCGTGGTGACGCAGAAAAGTCAGGCTCTGCCACAGGGTTTTCTGGGTGATTTACGGCTCGGTGCTGGCCCCTGCGCTGCCTCCTGCCTGTCCTGCTGCCTGGGTTTGCTTTAGCCCTTCCCAATCATGCCAGGGCAGCGGTGGGGATGGGCAGGAGCTGCTCCTACGGTGCTGAATGGCATGGCCCCCACACGCCCTCCCCACTCCAGAACCCCATGGCCTCTTCTACCTCTGCCCATCTCGGATACCTGGGAAGGGATGGGCCCCCAACTCCCAGTCCAGGTGACTCCAAGCAGCCCTGACCCACCATGAAACTGTCCATCCCTGAGGCATTGGTCCTTGGGCCACTTTTTATCCAGGCTAAGGATGCACCCCAGCAGCCTGGGACGTGTTGCACACAGGCAGCAGGACAGCCATGACAGAAGAGACGACCCTTAGTGGTGACAGCACTGGGACAGCTCTGCCAGCCCCTGTCCTGCACCGTAACGTTGCCATCGCTTTTGTCTGCGTGTGCCATCACCCGCTCCTTGTTGTGGCCGTGGGGATGGGGACGGGACAGTGCTCACCTTGGTGTGAAACTCCATCTTGGTTCTCAGCAGTTTGAGGTAGATGCTGCAGAGCTGTCCGTAGCCCTCGCTCAGATGGCCCTGGAGACACCAAAAAGCTATTGAGACCTGAGGCAGGCTGTGAAAATGTCTTCTCCCCTTGCAGCGTGAGTGAGACCTCCCTTATCTCCCCCAAACACACAGCCAAAACCTTACTCGCCAACACATGGGCTGCAGGCTGGCTTGCAGCAAACATGGTGAAAGGATTTGGTCAAGACCTTCTTACCACCTTCTCTGCAGATTTCAATGCTGTGTTTGAGCACCAGAGCTGAGTTCTACTGGCTTTTGCCATAAAATAGGAAGAAGGCATTTGATTTTGATGGAAGGGGATATTGAACACAACAAGCAAACTCAGCCTGGAGAGGTCCTGGTGGTCACAGGTCAGCCACGGCTGAGCATCTGCTCAGCCCTTGGAGCCTGGCTCCTCCTGGGTGAGATCACCATCCAAGCCAGCACCCCCTCCAGCCTGGCCAGGGTGCAGGGTGCTGCCAAGGGACCACCAGGGTGTCCCCACCGCGGAGGCTGGTGGAGTTGGCCACTTACCCACATCCTGCTCATGTCACTCAGCTCATTCTTGTATCTCACGGAGTCTTTCAGGACCTGGAGGAATAACGATGAAAGTATGTGGGCAGGAGGCAGAGCACCGGGGCAAGGTCTGCCATACTGGGAGCCGGCAACTGGGGTAAGGAATGGGAGGGCTTGATGCGTTCCCGACCCTGCAGCCTGCTGGCAGTGTCACCACTGCCAGCCCCAGGGTGCCTCAGTTTCCCCATCCGCACATGGGGCAGGAGGATCCTTGCTGATGGCTCCTGCTGATGTCCTGCGGTTTCCTCCGGCACTGGTGCCACGGTTGGCACCAGGGGTTGCAGTGCAGAGGGGCTGCAGTGCAGCGCCGGGAAGGCTCCGGCAAAGCGAGCAGGGAAGGGTCCCAGCACCGGTCCCACCCAGGAGGGCGCCGACCCGCCAGCATCTCCCACCGCACCGTGCAGCCCCACCGCAAAAAGGATTTGGCCCCAAGGCAGCTGCTGAGCTGAGCTCATGGCACTCACGTTCGAGTGGCCGTCCCGGAGGAGTTTGTGGAAGACATGGCAGAACTTCCAGCAGAGCACCGCGTTGCCTGACAGCGGTAGCCGGTTCACCACCGACCAGAAGGTCTGAGCCCCCTTCTCGTGGTGCGTGCCCAGGATGCATGGTGGTGGCCGGTCAAGGAAATGTTCCTCTCCCCCTCAGTGGTGATGGAGAGCAGCCACCCCAAAGCTGGCTGGTACCCGCAGAGCTGAGGGGAACTGGGCCACCGCAGGGAGCTGATAGCTGCCAAGCCTGGGTGCACATTGTCCCCAAGGGTGGCACACGCTGTCCCCTCTCCTCCAGCACCACATCATCGCTCTGTGAGCACTGTGGCATGCTCAGGGCTGGGGCTTGTGCCTCCACTGAGCCTTCCCAGCTGCGCTGCCGGGATGCTGGGGATTAGCTTTCAGTGGCAGCGTGCTCACAAGCACCTTTGGGGACTAAGCATCCTCAGCTCAGGCAGACAACCTGCTGCGGGCATCTGCCCCTCCATGGGACAGCAGCGCCGGGAGCACAAGGCTGAGCACGCACCGACGAGCAAAGGCTGCACCAGCAGGAGCAGGGACCCCGTGAAGTGCCAGAAATACTCCAGCCACCACCAAGAGCACACCAGGGTCCCAGCCAGCCACCCCCAGCCAGCTTCTGGCGCTGGCCCGGCTGTGCCAGCACCTCTACCCACGTGCCGCTTTGCCACTGCCCCTTTTCTGGGCGGCCCCAGCCCCGCTCCCACGCTCGCCTGTCCCACCGCCAACTTTAGGAAGGTTATTTCTGGCGTGTTTCTCCTTGACAGCCACTTCCTGCGCATTAATAGCCTTATTGATGCTGACAGTCTGCAAAAGAGAAGCGGTGGAGGGGGGGGGTGAGATGGGAAGGGTTCGGGCCCCCCTCTTGGTCCCCGATCACCCACTGGGACCCCTCAGCTCTCCCAGCACCTGTGGGTGGCTGGGTCCCATCCAGGTCCCCGGCCCCTGCTTGTGCCAGCTGGATGCTGCCCTTGCCGGATGCCTTTCTGGGATGTGGTTGGCATCTGCCAGGTTCAGCTGCTGCCAGGACTCATTTACTCAGCATAATAACGCTGCAATTAAAGCAGCCACCACAAAGGACCCTCTCCTGCCCTGGGAGCAGTGGGATGGGCAGAGGGAAGGCAAACCCCTCTGCATCACAGGCAGCAACCGGCGGCTCCCGCTCCGCTTTCAGGGAGAACCAAGGGGAGAGGGCATTTCGAGGGGCACGGGGAAGGCGGCAGCGGGACAGCGAGACCACCGCATGCTGCAGAGGACAGCGCAGAGGTCTGGCAGCAAAGGACACGGCCCCAGCTGCGGGATCAGAGTGGCAGGAGACGGACCCACTGCCCATAGCGCAGGCAGCTGCCCCGGCTGGTGCCCACTGCCGCCCCACCACCGACCGGCGCATCCAGAATCACAGAATGGGCAG